CCGGCACTGCTCGCCGTGCGAGGGGCAGCCCCCGTTGTAGCAGTATCCGTTGCCGTTCTGGCAGGAGATGCCGTTCTCCTGGAACACGTCCTCCGGGCACTCGGCGCTGAGGCCGGTGCAGTGCTCGGGCAGGTCGCAGTCGTTCTTGCTGGCCCGGCAGAGCACTCCTGCAGCCTTCACCTGCACGGAAAAGGGGATGTCAGCACTGCCTGGATGCTCTCACAGCTCCAGAGCCACGCAGGCACCACAGCACAGCAAACCCTGGTCTGGGAAACGTCTCCCAGCCTCCCATGGATCCAGACACTGTGACAGTGCACCCTGTGCACCCACCAGCTCCCTTCCCCGACGAGCTGGTCCCCTGTGGGCAGCAGTACCTTGCAGTCCTGGCAGCATTCCCCCTGGGCACACTCAGCTCCCTCTCTCAGCTGGCAGGTGGAGGCATTGCAGCAGCGATCTGAGCACTCCTGCAAGACAGGGATGGATTGAAAACCTCCCGGGAGCCCCCCGAAAGACCCTTCCCTGGGGGACTAGCTTGCCACGTCACCAGTTGCCAACAGCACTGTAGCCACCATGGGCTGAGCCACAGTGCAAAACCACAGCATCATCCCAGCTACCTCTTTACACCCATTGCCAACAACAAACCAAAGGACCTGAAGGGGTTTTTGCAGAGGAGGGGCCTGGACTGAGCATCCTTGCACATCTCCAGGAAGGGGAAAAGGGAGGATCTCTGTGCTCCCTGTTTCAGGGGAGCATTGTTTCAGGTCCCAGTGCAGGCTGTGACCAGGGGTTTGTCTCAGAGGAATCGCTCAGCTGTCTCAAATCCCCTTCATGATGGGGATGAGGAACAGCTGAGCACAGTTCTTGAAGAACAACATGCCATGATGTCCCTTCCTGGGCCACTTCTTTGGAGGACATGTAGGGGGAACATCCACCTTTCCTAGGCTAAAATCCCAGCCAGCTACATAAAGGGGGGCACACAGCCCTGTTAGTGAATGCACCCCACCAGCTGTTTTTTGGCAGAAGCATCAGGAACACAAGGGAGACGAGTCTTGCAAAGCAAGAAAAGAGTCTGGTGGACAAGTCTCAGGTGTCTGCCCCCCACCCCCCTCCCCAGTTCCTCGGAGAGCATCCCCACCTCGGGTGTGCCGCAGTCACACTGCTCTCCCCGCTCCACAAACTGGTTCCCGCACACGGGCCCCCCGTACAGCTCGTCTGCCCGGGGGGCGTTCAGCAGGCAGCTGGCCCGGGGGTCCCCGAGGAACTGCCACATGTCCTGCTCGCTGCAGCGGCTGAACAGCTTCGGGTAAACCAGGCTGGGGGGCACAAAACCAGGCGCTCGTGAGCCCACATTGGTGCCCACCAGCCCAGGGAGGAGCTGGGGGGACATCGAGAGGCTCGGAGGCATCTGCAGTGGGGTGGGGGGGAATGGAATGGAATGCCCACCCATCTCACAGGTTTCACCCCACTGGGACAGTGCCTGAGGACACCTGGACCCGTTTGGTGCCCAGGGATGTCCCCCTTCCTCCTTCACTCACCCAACGCTCCCTGCCATGACGCATCCCCCGTCAGCCTTGGGGAGGGGGCAGTGGCAGCCGGGGACGTCTTCGTCGTGGGACATGCCCAGGTTGTGCCCCATCTCGTGAGCCATGGTGGACGCGGCGCCGATGGGGTTGGTGCTGTGGTCCTGCGGGACAAGGAGTGCAGGGTGGGTGAAATGCTCTCGTGGTTTCTCCACAGCACCCCCAGGGGCCCACCGGGGCTCAGCACCAGGTCCCTCATGCTGCTGTGCTCAGGTAAAGGAAAACAAAAGCTGGATGTGGTCCCATGGCACCTGAGGAGCTCCAGGCTGGGGTCTCGGGGCTCTCAGGGAGCTTAGACAGAGCCACTTCTCCAAAGCATTGATTTGTGGTGGGGCTGGACCGCCACTGGTCCCATGGCTGACTGCTCCCACTCCCACAGACCTGGGGAGGGAGGGGAAGCACAGCCAGGACAGCTGAGGAATAATTGCAAACCAAATCCTGGCCACCTGACAGGCGGTTGGAGAAGCCCTGTGTCCATGGAGCTGCTCTGGGAGGCTCTTCAGCTGTATCAGAGCCCTCCACAGGTACCCAGCTGGGTGTCCGCAGCCCTGACCCTGCTCTGGGTGTCAGTCACTCAAGGGTCGGAGGTGCCAGGGACCAAATCCAGCCCTAAGGCTGCAGAGGAGGAAAGC